AAATAATATTCATTGGGCCCCGGTGCAGACATGGCCAAGTCCGAGAACCACACCACGCACAGCCAGTCCCGAAAATGGCACAGAAATGGCATCAAGAAACCCCAGTCACAATGATATGAATCTCTTAAGGGGGTGGACCCCAAGTTCCTGAGAAATATGTGTTTTGCCAAGAAGCACAAGAAGGGCCTAAAGAAGATGCAGGCCAACAACACCAAGGCCATGAGTGCACATGCTGAGGCTATCAAGGCCCTCGTAAAGCCCAAGGAGGTCAAGCCCAAGATCCCAAAGGGCAGCAGCCACAACCTCAGTCAGCTTGCCTACGTCGCTCACCCCGAGTTTGGGAAACAGGCTTGTGCCCATATCGCTAAAGGTCTAAAGTTTTAAGGCTCTGCTGGCCAAAGGCCAAGGCCGCAGCTGCAGGTATAGCTGCAGCTCCAACTGTAGTCCAGCTCAGGCTTCCAAAGCTGCCTAGGCCCACACAAAGGCTCCAGAGTAGAGGCCTTTATCTACCAATGTGAGGACAAAAGAACTGGTGTGACCCCTGGGCTGCTGTCTGCATGGGACTGGTGTCCTCCTGTGCTATTTGTACAAATAAATAGGGGGAAAAAAAGATATAAAATATTTCTGTCACCCCAGAAAGAGTCATTATTCCTCTTCTCAGTCCGTCTCCACTACCAAGCACCTCAACTACTATTCTGTTTTCTTTCACCATAGATTAATTTGTGTGTTCTTGAACTTCATGTAAATAGGATTATTCAGTATGTGCTCCTATTATGTGTCTGGCTTCTTTTACTTACCATAATGAAAATTTATTCCTGTTGTTGGTTGGATCGGGAGTTCATTGGTTATACTACAATTTGTTTACCCATTCTCCTGTTTTGTTTTTTGTAGACATTTTTGAAATGTCTGTCTGGCTAATAGAGGAGAATGGATTCTCTCATTCACATGTTTAATAAAGGAGCACTAGTTGTCTTATTTACAGAGGGGAAAATATTTTGTTTGAAATGAAAATTACAGAAAGGACAGGGCTAAAGAATTATAAAATCATTATTAATATGTTAGGAGCATCTGTCTGTATGGAAGCAGATGGAAAATGATTGTACTGCTGCTCTGCATCCCCCTTCTTAAATCAGATAGGAAAAGTCATCTGAGTGAAAGCACGAAATACAGTGGTTCTGATGAGATTCAAATGCCATGAGGATCACAGAATTTTATATTGAGAAGGTACCTCACTTAGTAAACTTTCCAGGAACCTTATTTATCAGATTTTATTCCTTTACCAAAGAGTTGGCATATCTTGTATGATGTGGTGTTTACAAGACAGGGTTCCAGGACTAGATTCTAGAGATTCTAGGTCTTCTCTAACATGAGAACTAAGACCTTTTACTAATAATTTCTAGTGACTGTATATTATATAATTTTTGGTTTAAATTGTACAATTTTCCTTTAAAAATTATTTTTCTTTTCAAAGTATAGAGCATTAAAAATTTTGTTTTGTTTTTGGTATTTAACCTTTTTCAAAAACTTAGACTTGTTTATGTTATTTGAATGGGTGTGATACAGGGTGGTTTTGCTTTCTTACATTGTATTACAATACATGGGGGGAGGGGAATGTGTATTTTTAAAGTTTAAATTGCCAGTGTTTACTTTTTATAAAGAAGCTATTTCAATGAGAGAAAAATTTTAAATTAGAGGAATCAGCATTACATACATTTCTGTATTTGGATTTGGTCCCATGGTATGGAGAAAATCCTTTCTCACAAATTATGAACAGTAACTGATTTTCTTTTTTAACAGTTTACCACATCAGTATTCTTTTCAATTTCATTTGATTCAAACCTTTAAGAGGATTAGTAGGACATTTTGTTTCAAAGTTGAACCTGACAATATCTAACAACTGTTCGTATTTCCTTTTCATAAATCTCAAAGACAGACAAGAAGAATCCAAAATGTACTATTACATGGATCATTTGTTACACATTCCACATACTTACTTATTACATCATGGTGAGAGCATGCCTTGGCAGATGTGCCTAGCCTTAGGTAGCATATACTTGAATGTGGCATGTATGTCCTTTAGTATTGTTCTTAGTAGAACAGAAGCAGACCTCAATTACTAAAAATGCTCAGTACAGACCTAAATCTTCCTCAACATGTTTATCGGGGGGAGCTCAAACCTATGCCCAAAGATGACAGGAAAGGCTTTATTACAGGGGCTGCATGAAAATGTGAATTACCTTGGCAGCATAAGTTAATTCATTGGTGGTTTCTTCCTTACCCACCCCACCCCCTTGCACCTCCAAAATCTTCTCTTTTTTCCCTTCTATTCTCTCAATGTTAGAGCAAAAGTCAAAAGAGAATTTTGCTTTATCCCTTAAGTGAGGGTAAAACAAAATACTGTTTTCTTCAAGAATCTCCAACGTTTTGGGGGAGGAGCCACCATTACTCCTGAGAGTACTTGGGGAGAGGGGGGTGTGAGAGGAGAATATGGAGATTATGAAGTCTGCTGAATGGATGAGTGAAGGTGATGCTGGACTCACTCATTTTTACAGATAATCCAGTAAGACTCTTGGTAAACTGTAGAAGACAGGTGGTCACTGAGGAAATGGTATGGTGCAAAACAGATTGGAGATCTGCTATGATGTATCTACTTCTGATACCAGGTTTATCTTTTTTTTTTTCTTTCTTTTTTTTTCATAATACACAATGTATTTATTTATTTATTTATTTATGGCTGTGTTGGGTCTTCATTTCTGTGCATGGGCTTTCTCTAGTTGTGGCAAGTGGGGGTCACTCTTCATCGCGGTGCGCAGGCCTCTCACTATCGCGGCCTCTGTTGTTGCGGAGCACAGGCTCCAGACGCGCAGGCTCAGTAATTGTGGCTCACGGGCCCAGTTGCTCCATGGCATGTGGGATCTTCCCAGACCAGGGCTCGAACCTGTGTCGTCTGCATTGGCAGGCAGATTCTCAACCACTGCGCCACCAGGGAAGCCCCAGGTTTATCTTGATAGTAGGAGGTTTTGTTGTTGTTCTTTTTCTCTCTGCATTAAGGAAAAAGGAGTGAGGTTTATTGATTTTTAAGCAAGTATTATTTATGTAACTGCCCAAGATTTTTTCAGGTTATCTATAACTAGTTGCCGACCAAATGGAGAAGGCTAAAAGAACAGTACCCTACTCTCACTTTTTATAAGCTTTAAAAACAGAAAATAATAGTTGGATTCAGGACTTCTCCAAAAATACTCATTTATATTCTAAATTAGAGCAGGTAGGTAATGATAGTGAACAAACATTAAATGGCTTGATTTAGGATGTTTATAAATGCTGGGGGGGCAGGTAGGACATTTTAAAGCTTAGGGTTATTATACAAAATAACAATTATAGGAAAAATGTTCTAGATCCAGGATTTACATACATATCATTACATAATGAGTCTCTCCCAGCTGAATCAAGTGAGTCTACCTCAGAGACTGGTGAAAGAACTGGACTAAGAGCTGAGAGGCTTTTAAATTGTTATTTCTGTTTTAACTTTGAGTGAATAAAAAAATTATTATTTTTGAGTTATATTTTATTTTCATTAATTTTATTCTGAAACTGTTTATTATCTCAATAAATACATTTTGTGTATTTTTGCCTTTGGTTAGGTAAATAATCTCCATCAGTGGTAGAGGAGAGGTTTGGAAATTAGGGAGCTCTTCTTGTCTTTTCTGTCATAGATCAGTCTTCTAAGGGGCAACTCATCTAACCTCCCTGGACCTGTTTTCTTATCTGTCAGTAGACCCTTGCTGCCCAGTAAGGGACCCAACCAGCCACAGGTTGTTATTGAACCTTTGTAATGTGTCTAGTCCAAATTAAGGTGTACTCTAGGTGTAAAAGACTTAGTACAAAGGTAAGAATGTAGAATATCTTATTGTTAATATGTTTATATTGATTATATCATTGGAATGATAATATTTTGGGTACATTGGGTAAGTAAAATGTATTATTAAAATTAATTTCACCCATTTCTTTTCCCTTTTTTAAATGTGTGCACTAGAAAATGTTTATTTCCGTTTGTGGCTCACATTATGTTTCTTTTGGATAGTGCTGATCTGTACAGCATTTCCTAAACTGACTCATGAAATAATAAGTGCTCAGTGAAACAGTTTGGAAGAGGGTCGGTGTCCAGTGGAACTTTCTGCAGTGATAAAATGGTCTGCATCTCTGTTGTCCAATTTAGTAGCTACTGGCCCTGATGGCTATTGAGCACTTGAAATATAGCTAGTGTTCTGAAATGTAGGAAAAGGAACTAAATTTTAAATATTATTTAATTTTAATTAACTTTAAGGAGCCACATATGGCTAGTGGCTAATGTATTGGGACAGTGCAGATCTAAAGATTTATGGGACGGTTTTATTTAAAAACTTGTATACCTAGGATGTGTTTACCATATTGCAAGCTTGTTAGTTTAATATAAGTCTATATAGTTTTTGTTTATTATGAATAATAATAAATGATCAGTAACAATAATATTTATTAAGTTCTTGTTATATAGCATGTACTGTGTAAGTACCAGAGGGAGGATTTGTATAATAAATTACTTACTGAGGATTTCTATAATAAATTATTTACTGAGCTATATTGCTTGTATTCTGTAATATGTTTGATGCATTGTGCTTTCCAGGATATTGTGGGCTTACCATGTTTTCATCAAAATCTGGTTTCTTTTCTTTCTATATGAGGTCCTTCTGTGAAAGCCTGGCTCCTTTTGGAAGGTCTGAACAATGTGCTGCCTTGTTAAAGGATTTTCTTTTGAAAGGGAAATGCATGCTTTGTAACAGATGGTTTTTTTTTTCAGTGAACTTTTGAAGTTATGTTTTTAGCTTTAAAGGGGATGTGTGTATGTATTTACACAGACTTATAAATATCGGTATTATGTAATATTCTTTTTGTATGTGTGTACACATATAAGTATTGATATCAAGCAGTGTTATTAATTAATGTATTATTGCTTCACAGTGAAGAACGAATGTCATCATGTCTGGAATCAAGCGAACAGTCAAAGAAACTGACCCTGATTATGAGGATGTATCTGTGGCCCTTCCAAATAAGCGGCATAAAGCAATTGAGAATTCAGGTAGAAATTCACTTGCCTTAGGAAATTATTTCTTTGTTGACATATGCCTCCCTATAAGATTTATAGGAACTAAAATGAAATGCATGTCCACTATTGTGTATATTTTGAAGAGGTTTGTGAGAGGGATTAGCTAAGTGCTCTGTTTAATAGTAATATGCCATGTGTGGCATAAAAGGCTGGAACATAATCAGGTAGACTGTGAAAGTGTCAGTAATGAGACAGGCTCTAAGTTTTAGGTATCATTGTGTGTTAGGTGTAATCATAAAGTCTTAGCAATGTGTGTACTACAGTGTGGTATCATGTGAGATGATTATAGGTGGTACATGAATTAAGGTTTTAATCGTTAATGTTAATGTCTATAGAAAAGATAATGGTCTTATCAGACTTGCAGTTTCATGGCTACTGCTTAGGATAAGGCTAACTTTTTTTTTTTTTAATTTTAATTCTATTGGAGTATAGTTGATTTACAATGTTGTGTTAGTTTCAGGTGTACAGCAAATTGATTCAGTTATACACATACCTATATTCATTCTTTTTTAGATTCTTTTCTCATAGATTATCACAGAATGTCGAGTAGAGTTCCCTGTGCTATACGTATATGTCCTTGTTGGTTATCTATCTTATGTATAGTAGTGTGTGTATCTTCATCCCAAGTGTGTATATCTTCATCCCAAGCTCCTTATTTATCCCTCCCCCCAAGGGCTAACACTTTCTAAAAATACTATTTAATGGTGTTAATTAGATGTTTCACATGGTTCTCAGATGTGGTAGGTAACTTGAAGGTGGTATATGAATGATGGAAATTTGGGAAACACTGATCTCTGCACTTAGCTGGTGGTGGCTTAGTTAAGGTTCAGAGGCATTAAATTACTTGCCCAAGATCATTTAATTAGTTGAAGACCAGATCATCTGTAGTTACCCAGAATGTTTTAAGCTGTCTCAAAAAAAGTGGCTATATTTGAGTTTCTAAAACAAAATACTGCTAAAATTCATTACTGTTTATTAAAAAAATGAATCTATATAAGTTACTACAGCTAGATGATGAAGGTCTCAAAGTCATAGATAAGGTGCTGCAGCTCCACAGAGATCAGGGCCCCAAGGTTAAGTGGTGAAGGAAATTCCTGTCTGTGTCAGTGCAGTCAAGTCATATGTACCTCACAAAAGTCTCTGTACCGGAAGTGATTAAATCCAGTTCCAAACAATAAAAACATTTCACTGCAACTTTTCTCTCCATTCAGTTGTAGTTTTATTTACAAGGATATGTCATTTGCTTTCAGTAACAAGCCAGATAAATATGAAAGTATCATGAAACTTAAATTCATTATTCAGATGCATCACATGGCATATCTTTTTTGTAATAAAAATAAGAAAAGGGAAAACATTGGTTTAGGAAACATTGTAATTTCAATTTAAATCTAATGTAAGTTCACAAATACGTAGCCTAAGCAGGGACAGTTTTGTTACTAAGTGTCAATTTGCTGTTCTTCTTGGTGTTCATTCTCAACCTAATTCCTAATAAAGATTTTATTTTTATTCTTCAGAATTTTTCTCAAAGTAGGTTTGGTAGGATGCTTCCCTTTTTTAAAAAAATATAAATTTATTTACTTATTTATTTTTGGCTGCGTTGGGTCTTTGTTGCTGCACATGGGCTTTCTCTAGTTGCGGCAAGTGGGGGCTACTCTTCGTTGTGGTGCGCAGGATTCTTATAGCACTGGCTTCTCTTGTTGCGGAGCACGGGCTCTAGGCACGCGGGCTTCAGTAGTTAATGGCTCGCGAGCTCTAGAGCGCAGGCTCAGTAGTTGTGGTGCATGGGCTCTGTTGCTCTGTGGCATGTGGGATCTTCCTGGACCAGGGCTTGAACCTGTGTCCCCTGCACTGGCAGGTGGATTCTTAACCATTGCACCACCAGGAAAGTCCCAGGATGCTTCCCTTTTCTTATATGGTTTTATTTTGTTTGGCTTTAGTTTTCCTTATTTCATGAAAGAGATAATTTAGAATTGCTTTTTTCTGAGGAGCTTATGATAAAACAGCCTGCATTGATAACAGTCTCTGACTTTTAGCCTCCCCTAAGATTATCTGCTGGTTTCTCAATATATACAAGGTTTATATATACAAGGATACATACAGTAATACTAGAGAAAACTCTTTTCATCAGATATGAGGAAAGCTAGTCATTTGCTTCAGTGCAGGCATATCCACAAGAATGCTTATACCAGCACTAGATTTATTTATTTATTTATTTATTTAACATCTTTATTGGAGTATAATTGCTTTACAATGGCGTGTTAGTTTCTGCTGTATAACAAGGTGAATCAGCTATACGTATACATATATCCCCATATCCCCTCCCTCTTGCATCTCCCTCCCACCCTCCGTATCCCACCCCTCTAGGTGGTCACAGAGCACCGAGCTGATCTCCATGTGCTATGCGGCTGCTTCCCACTAGCTATCTATTTTACATTTGGTAGTGTATATATGTCCATGCCACTCTCTCACTTCGTCCCAGCTTACCCTTCCCCCTCCCAGTGTCCTCAAGTCCATTCTCTACATCTGCGTCTTTTTTTTTTTTTTTTGCGATACACGGGCCTCTCACTGCTGTGGCCTCTCCTGTTGTGGAGTACAGGCTCCGGACTCGCAGGCCCAGCGGCCGTGGCTCACAGACCCAGTCGCTCCACGGCATGTGGGATCTTCCCGGACCGGGGCACGAACCCGTGTCTCCTGCATCGGCAGGCAGACTCTCAACCACTGCGCCACCAGGGAAGCCCTACATCTGCGTCTTTATACCTGTCCTGCCCCTAGGTTCTTCAGAACCATTTTGGTTTTAGATTCCATATATATGTGTTAGCATACGGTATTTGTTTTTCTCTTTCTGACTTACTTCACTCTGTATGACAGACTCTAGGTCCATCCACCTCACTGCAAATAACTCAATTTTGTTTCTTTCTATGGCTGAGTAATATTCCATTGTATATATGTGCCACATCTTCTTTATCCATTCATCTGTCAGTGGACACTTAGCTTGCTTCCATGTCCTGACTATTGTAAATAGTGCTGCAGTGAACATTGTGGTACATGTCTCGTTTTGAATTATGGTTTTCTCAGAGTATATATCCAGTATTGGTATTGCTGGGTCATATGGTAGTTCTCTTTTTAGTTTTTTAAGGAACCACTATACTGTTCTCCATAGTGGCTGTATTAATTTACATTCCCACCAACAGTGCAAGAGGGTTCCCTTTCCTCCACACCCTCTCCAGCATTCATTGTTTGTAGAATTTTTAATGATGGCCATTCTGGCGGTGTGAGGTGATACCTCATTGTGGTTTTGATTTGCGTTTCTCTAATGATTAGTGATGTTGAGCATCGTTTCATGTGTTTGTTGGCAACCTGTGTATCTTCTTTGGAGAAATGTCTGTTTAGGTTTTCTGCCCATTCTTGGACTGGGTTTTTTTTGATATTGAGCTGCATGAGCTGCTTGTAAATTTTGGAGATTAATCCTTTGTAAGTTGCTTCATTTGCCAATATTTTCTCTGATTCTGAGGGTTGTCTTTTTGTCTTGTTTATGTTTTCCTTTGCTGTGCAAAAGCTTTTAAGTTTCATTAGGTCCCATTTGTTTATTTTTGTTTTTATTTCCATTTCGCTAGGAGGTGGGTCAAAAAGGATGTTGCTATGATTTATGTCATAGAGTGTTCTGCCTATGTTTTCCTCTAAGAGTTTTATAGTGTCTGGCCTTACATTTAGGTCTTTAATCCATTTTGAGTTTATTTTTGTGTATGGTGTTAAGGAGTGTTCTAATTTCATTCTTTTACGTGTAGCTGTCCAGTTTTCCCAGCACCATTTATTGAAGAGGCTGTTTTTTCTCCATTGTATATTCTTGCCTCCATTATGAAAAATAAGGTGACCATATGCCAGCACTAGTTTTAAATTGGCAGTCTAGTGGCATATTTTATGGGGAGAAAATGACATGGGTGATCAAGGGTCCAAATTTTCTCTGCAATTTTTTTTACACCCCAAAGCATGGGTGGTGAGTTTTTCATATTACAAACACAGGATCATTATGCAAAATCTCAGGTTTTTCAAGCAGTCATTCGACTCTTCTTTTTTTATTCTCTTGTAATCAAACTACATTTCATATCTGATGTTTCTAACTCTTTGAATTGCATATTACTTTGAGTAGTCATTATCTGAATTGAATTGCCTTCAGAGACATTTTCTGTCCTTTTGAATTCTTTGCTGGTTCCTTCAGGTAGTTGTAATCAGAAACTGCTGAATTGCATGCTAGATCCTAACTTCCTGCCTTCTTATGAACTGCTCTTGTGTCACAGACTACCTCTTCCTCTAGCTAATTCTTTACTTTCTTTTTCCTTGGGGTTATGGTTTTTCACAAGTCACCACGTATTTCTCTCAGAATCTTCATGGGTTTCTTTTTCTTTTTTGGTAATTGTATTTTGATGTGATTTCAAACAGAAAACTTGCAAGGAGAATTTGTATGTCTTTTGTCCAGATTAATTCACCAATTGTTTACATTTTGCCTCATTTGGTTTATCATTCTTTTCCCCCATCCCCAATCCATACACACACATACTACACAAATGTTGCATGTATGCATGCAGGTATATATGCACATCATTTTTTCAAAATCATCAGAAGATACATTAGACACTTGTAAACACTTGTGTATTTCCTAAGGACAAATTTCTTATGTAACCACAGTACAATTTATCAGAAGCAGGAAAATTTTAACATGTTACATTACATTATCTAATCTGCTGTCCATATTCAAGTTTTACCAGTTGTCCCAGTGTTTTATAACTATTCCCCCTCTCCAGGATCACACAATGCATTTAGTTGTTATATCTCTTTAGTCTCTCTTAATCTCCTCAACTTTTCTTTGTCTTTCTTGACTTTAGTATTTGAATGTATAGGCCAGTTATTTTGTACAGTGTCCTTCAGTTTAGGTTTGTCTGATGTTCGCTGTGATTAGATTCAGCGTTTTTAGCAGGAATTCCACAGAGTGGTGGAGTC